GCAGCCAGAGTTCCACAAACGGGACTACAGCAGCCTTGGTACCCTTACCCCACTGAAACCACCCCCGTCTTCCTCAGGAGATGAGAAGGACTAGGCACATGGTTGAGGACGGTTCCAGTGGGGGTTAGGGCGAAGAGGACGGTGCGAGAAGAAGAGCTGATCACTGCCACCTCATGCCTTGAGGGATCGACAACAAAATGGCTAGATGGAATAGTGGTATATGAGGGATACAGCAGACGAATGAATGATTGGGCAAAGACCCACACATTGGAGAGTTTCATGGCATTGGTAGAAACGCAATGGCACAACCCCCAGCAGACCCAGCAGGCCACTGATGCGATTGTCCTACTTGATACCAGAAGGTACAAGTCCGCGCATAAGCTCACCGCCGTCGTGGAGAAACTCTTCGTCTCGGGAGTCCACTATGATCACAAGTCTTGCTGACCATGTATTTGAGATGTCTTCCCACAAACATCAAGAACCTGATGGTCAGCGAAGCAAGCATCAATTATCACACTCTCCACTCCTTCAGCAAGAATGCCCTAGATTTATAGGCTAAGCTAGGAGGAGCACAACAACCTGCCACGGACGGTAGGAAGAAAACCCCACAAGATTGGAAGAAGAAGGGTTGTCGGTTGATGATGGTTTATTCCAATGGGAATCAAACCGAGATCGACGATCTTTCTAATCTTGTGGAGCAAACAGAGATAGGTGGCGAGGAGAGTGTTGAGGGTGGCAACCTTGCCACCATAACCAAAGAGAGGCAGCTGGTTTGGGCGGTCAGCGAAAGAGTCAAGGGCAGGCTCAAACTCAAACAAGATAGTAGCTTGGGTGAGGGTTGACCTGGATCAGGATGGAGGGACCGGTACTCGTAAGGAGCTTGCATTAAATGCGATGAATATTGCCATCAACAATTCAAATGCAACAACGCAAAAATCTCTCAGAGGATTCCGCCCAAGGGTGGCTTCGGCGATGTTTCGTCCAGAGTGGTGCCTCTACTAGCTCCAACCAGAGAAACACACCTGGCCAGTAGAAGATATAGTTGTTTCTACTGGTGCTGAAGTGGTTGATGTACCCTCACCACTTCAGTAGTTGGCCGAAGCTATTGACTCTCTAGCAGTGTTGGACCCGCCGACGGTCGGCGGCCCTCGATCAGCCGGGCGCTGACCCGTCGACCGATCGTTGGTTATCGGCCTGCCACATTTTTGCGTGGCGGCGTCCCGCACCCCGTAGGCCCATTGCTCGGTCGGCAGGAGTTAAAAAGAGTGTGCTTGCCCACACTCTTCTCATTCATCTCCGGTGGCATTGGAGGCAGCCGTGAGTGTGGGCAGCCAAGGTGCTTGGGGAGGTGAGAAGAGTGTGGGCAGGGTGGGGGAGACGGGGTGGAACCTTGGAGCTTGATGCAGCTGAGGTGAGGTGGAGTCCACTTACCTGGTTCTCATGTGGAGGGTCTTCAGCAACACATGGGCGACATTCTTCCTCAGCAAGCTTCCTGCGTTGCGGCATGCAAGAAAGCCTGCTGCTTTCTTCCTGCTTCGGTCAGTGTGTGTGTGAGAGAGATCGACAACTGGATAGGGAGAGAAAAGCTTCCACCTTCTTCTTCATCTTCGTCTTCTTCTTCTTCTTCATCTTATTTTAGAACATCGTTGCCCTAATGGTTTATTTCTTCTTCTTACTTTGAAAAAACCTTTGCCCTAATATTTCGTTTCTTGTTCTTGTTCTTCTTCTTCTCCATCTTCATCGTCTTCTTCTTCTTCTTCATGTAATGCATTGTCATCCCCACTTCTTTTTCTTCTTTTTCTGAAAAAAAAACATTTGCCAACTTTACCCTATTTTTTTTGTTTCTTCTTCTTCTTCGTCTTCCTCTCTCTCATCCTTTTTACTTTGTGAAGTTAGCCCTAATTTGACTGCTCGTCTTCATCTTCTTTCTTCTTCTTTTTCTTCTTCTCTCCATCCTCTTCTTCTTCTCCTCCTCCTCCTACCATCACCCACCTCCGCGTTTTTTCTTCTTCTTTTTTTTCGGAAAATCGTCAGGTAGTGTGTGTGCACACCCTTCGAATTTGACTGCTCTTCGTCATCTTCTTTCTTCTTCTTTACTTCTCTCCATCCTCTTCTTCTTCTTCTTCTTCTCCTCGTCCTACCATCACCCACCTCCGCGTTTTTTTCTTCTTCTTTTATTCGGAAAATTGTCGGTCAGTGTGCACACCCTTCTCATTCTTCTTTTTTTTCTTCTTCTTCTTCTTCTTCTTCTTCTTCTTCTTGATCTTCTCTCCATTTTTTTCCACTTCTTCTTCTTCTTCCTCCTCCTCCTACCACCACCCATCCCCACGGTTTTTTGTCTTCGGAAAATCGTCGGGCAGTGGGCACTTCTTCTTCTTCTTCAAGTTCTTCTTTTTCTTCTTCATCCTCTCTCCATTTTCTTCCACTTCTTCTTCACCATCTTTTACTTCTTCTTCCACTTCTTCTTCTTCTTCCTCCTCCTCCTACCACCACCGACCCCCACCTTTTTTTTTAATATTCGGAAAATCATCGGGCAGTGGGCACACACTTCTTCTCCAAGTCCTTCTTCATCTTCTCTCCATTTTTTTCCAGTTCTTCTTCTTCACCATCTTTACTTCTTCTTCCTCCTCCTACCACCACCCACCCCCACGTTTTTTTTTTTTAATTCGGAAGTTGGCCGGGCAGTGGACACACACTTCTTCTTCTTCTTCCCAGCGGACACACACCTCGCACCCCTTTTTCTCCCTCTTCTTCTTCTTGTTCTTCTTCTTCTTCCTCCTCTAATGTTGCACGCTGGCCGCGGCCGGGTTCGGCCCAGGCCGCGGCCGGCGGCCTAGGCCGGGACCCCCCCGGACGCGGCCGATAATTACGACCGACGCTGCGGCTGATCGGGGAGGGGGTTTGGGGGGCGGGGAACGGGTTTCGAGTCGGGGGGTCCCCCTACCTCCTCGCAAAAAAAAAAACATAGAAACTTCAAAAACGGGGGGCTGGATTTCGATGACTACCCAAAAAAAATAAATAAATAGATTTATTTTTTTTTCATTGATTGACTGTTTTTTTTTTTTTTGATTGATTGATTGATTGATTGATTGATTGGTTGGTGGGGGAGGGGTCCTCCCTCCACCCCACGGCGCGTGCGCACCTCTCTCTCTCTCTCTCTCTCTCTCTCTCTCTCGCGCGCGCGCGCAGCTCCTGCACGCTCCCGCGCAGCTCCCCGCGCAGCTGTCCGCGCAGCTCCCGCACACGCGCGCACACCCACACCCACACCCACACCCACACACCCACCCACCCACACACCGACACCCACACACACACACGAAAACCAGTATGGCAGTGTATATTCCCACGATGTAGCGCCAGATTCATTCGTTTTTTATTTTCTTTCTTTTTTTTTTTTT